GTATTTTATTTTTTTGCTTTTATAGACGGGGATCCTCCCCCCTCCAATTTTTGTATATTTTCTTTTAAAAAAGTAGTATTTTAAAAAAATCTAATTGACTACAAGACTACAAAAAATTATAATCAATTAAAATATTGATTAAGAAAATAGAATAAAAATTATTAAATTAGATTCAAATGATGTTTTAATATAAATAATAATTTTTAAATCTTGCTCAAACATTTACTGTCTTACGGCTACATGATTAGGGTTGTTAAAAGGATGTTTTGTTCGTGAACAGCTCGTGTTCGGCTCGTTAGCTTAACGAGCTGAACACGAACACACTTTTTGAGTTCGAAACGTAAACGAGCTCAGCTCGTGTTCGGCTCGTTTACACCCTTACCTTTGGAATCACTTCTGTTTTTTTTTTATTTATTTTATTTTGTTTATGTTTTGATTTAAAACAAAACATATTTGGTATGATATTATATCTTCAGTTATTTTAAAAACAGTCAAACAACTTTAATATGTTTTGAGTGTTTTAAAGAACAAACTAATTTATTTTAAAAACAAAAAAAAACAGGCAAAATAATAAATAAATAAATAAATGTTTTAAAAATAAAAACAAAAACAAAATACAAACGTGATCCCAAACAAGCAATAAAAGCAGCACCCGTGGTTGAGAACACATACGGTAACATAGCAGTGAGTCTTAATATGATCCATCCAGAAATCACACACTTTTCCAGTTTGTGCAAGCAATTCCTGAACGGCTTTCAGAGTAAAAGGACGAAGAAAATTGTCTATTCTCAAGGAAGTTGTGGCAGATTTCTTTGAGGTTGGGACTGCAACAGAAGCCATCTTACCCAGTCAATTTAATTGTCTAAGAGAAGGTAAGCATAAATTACAAGGTTCTGGAAACCTTACCAATGCGCTCCTTTGGGGAATCAACACTGAGTGTTGAGTTAGACCTACTGAATGTGTGCCGTGGTGTTGGCAGTGCATTATTCTTTGGCGTCATGACTATGTCGAGGTGAGGTGTCCGCTGTTCAGGAACTTTAATGGTGTCTGGATTCCATCGACGTTGACGCTTAGGAGCACCATTAGTCACAACCTCAGGTTCTAAAGAAACAATATAGAGAAGTCAACGAATTTGTCAAGCTCCTTAATAAAGCCAATAAAAAATAAAAACATAGAGAAGAACACAACTTAAGCATCCGCATGCCAACAAATCATCAAGAATGGAGACAATGATTAAATGTGAAGCGCAAGATTAAGTTATGGGATTGGAACAGCATTTATTCGTTTTTTTTAACTCTAATAACAAGTCGGCGAGACGAGAAAAAAACAAGATTGATTAAATCAGCTGTGCTCCATCCTTTTCATCTCCTTGGAAAAAAAAAAAGGGGTGGGGGGGTGACTAACTAAAATATTGAATATTTCACCGCCCAAACTTAAAATATAACATTTTAACCACCTTTTTCATCATAAGCAACCTTCTTTGCTCACTAATGAAAATTTTGAGTGAAATTTTGACAGGTTAAAATGTTATATTTAAAATTGTGGGTAGTTAAAGTGTTTTTAAAATCAAATATTCAATGTATTGAGTGGAGGTTATGTAAAAAGCCCAAAAATAAAAAAGCATCGACGGACAGCTGATTTATCCACTTTAAATGTGCTCTTCAATTCATTTTTTTTTCATTTAGAACTTCAAAATATAAGGAGACTCTTATTTTAATTCACAAAAATTCAAGCATTTTATAATATGAAAATATCAATAAGCGAGATTCTCTCAAGAATATAACTTGAACCTATGATTCATGATTTAAATCAACCAGAAACAAATGCTGTAGAAGACAATGATATTACGTTATCATGAAAAAAAACGATATTATCTTGACTTCATAAGTTCATATATTTCTTAAATTGATCTTGAAACTCAAGAATGCAGACCATGAGTATAAAGGTTGTTATTTCCATTCATTAATACAAAAAGAAATTTAAATAGGAGAAAAAAAGGTTGCCATATCCATCCAGGTAATATAATGTTTACCTTCCAGCTTTCTCTTGTCAGTAAGAGCTGCAGGCTTAACATCTTCTACAGCTAGATCCATCATTTCAGAAGAAAATTCAGTCGCTGCGTCAACTGCAGCTCTTTCCTCTTTTACTTCAATTGTACTAGTTGGTTCCTCAAATTTGATATCAGGATCCATATGTTTACTCTCCAACACATCCTCCTCCATTGATTCATCACCGGAACTCCTATCAAGATTCAACTTTTCAGAAGAACCTGCTTCAAGACAATCTTCCTTCTTGGTAAGGACAACAGTTGAAGCATTTTGTGTATCTGCATATTTCAAGGAAACATGCTTTGGGCCCACTTCTTGCTCATAGCTCTGAACAAGACATTGTTCATTGGCTACATTTCCGCCATTTGCCTCTCGTTCATCTGGTAAAAGGTTTTGACCTACATGCTGGATATCAGAGACTTCGTTCTTAACATCCATTTGCTCATCATTAGCCAAGGAAACGTCAACACCAGAGAGGTAGCTGCTGGATGATGATTGCACCACTTCCTGCTTAACAACTGGTACTTCTAGAGGGAAATGATAAGCAGACAAGTTATCCTTTATATAATTCTTTTCATTAATTGTTACAGTTTCAGTAGAATTTGATTCATATTTTACTTGAAATCCTAAATCTTGGCTGATCTCAGATACCTGATTGCTTTGTTCCGACTGGATGAACGTGGAATCTACTGTGAGAAGCTTCAAATCCTCAAACTTCTCCTCGGGTTCAGCATCCTCACCTAGCATTCCAGATTGAGAAATAATATTCTGGTTTACTGGTGCATGGCCCTCCAATTCACCTGCAGTAGCTGCCTTCTCGTCTTTCTCAACTATGGGTGGCATTAAGTCATCAAAATTATCCACATGCATGGCATCCTCACCTTTCGAGCTAGATTGAGCAGTAACATTCTGGCTGACATGTGCACTACCCTGAAGAACTGTAGTAGCCACCTTTTCCTCACCTGACTCAACTGCAAGAGGTTTTGACTCTCCAAATTTTGCCTCAGGCTCAGCATCCTCATCTTTCATGTCAGATTGGACAGTAATATTCGGATTGAATTTTGCAATGCCGTCCAAATCAACCGTAGTGGCTTCCTTCTCTTCATACGTCCCACCTATGGGTTGCTTCAAATCCTCAAGCTTGGCATCCTCGCCTTGCATTCCAGAATGAAAGGTAGCTGCATTATGATTGACAGCTACACAGACCTCCATATCATCTCTAGTAGCTGCATTCCCTTCATCTACCCCAAATGAGGAAACAGGTTCAATTGCATCACTATTTTGACCTTTAATCTCTTGGTTCACATCAATATCACCATGATTAATGTTTAAAATGGATGCATCTTTAGCAGTATTATTATCCTCGTCCAGCATAGGCTGGGTATCATCTGCTCCTTCCAGCTCTACATCTTCCAAATCAGTATTATTATGTAAATCTGAATTCCGCTCAACATCATTACCTAACTCTGCTTCATTTTCAGATTGCCTTTCTTTTTGAATGGCTTCATCCAATCGCTTAACTAGCTCCTCTTTTAAACCTTTAGTAGCCAAACTTCTTCTTCGAAGCTCATCTCGAAGCTCAGTAACCCTCCATTGGTCAATAGGTTTATTATCAAGAACAGGGTATTGGGACAACATCTTCTTAAGATTAATAAAACAAACTCCAATTTTGTCTTCCAAATCTACAAAAAGAAAAGTTATTTAAATTACAAGGTTAATAAGTAGAGCATATGAGGCATATATTATAAAAAAAATAATCAATAAAAAGAGACAAAAGAAAATACCATCAATAAATAAATATGAATAGGGTTGTATATGACTCAATCCCTGTAGTGCTAAGTTTAATCTCACCCATTTATCTTTTTCGAGCTTGAACCAATGCTGAGTATGGGCCAAGTTTTAAAATCCTTTTCATGTCCATTTACAGTGGTATGAAATTTTAATTCCCATCAAGCTTTAATACAGCATAGTTATGTGAAGCTAATGATGTAAGCATGCATCCTAGTCATCTAACATATGGTTTTTTAAAATTGATCATAAAAACTGAAAGAAATTCTCAGTATCTTTATAGTCTTTTTAAAAGCCAAAGTCTAACACAAAATGAGAAAAATCAAATCCAACAATTAATAATTTTCTCTATATTAAACTTTTATCATATTTACAACTCTATAATTATAATCCAGTTAATATTTTTAGGACTGAAACAAAGTTTATTCCTGAGAAAGAATGAGTCAAGCACCAAAGAAGAATTAAAATGGCATCTAACAAACTCCCTACTGATCCGCATACTGAACAGCAAATCTACAACAACTGCAGCAATGTTCAAGTAAGTTAATTTATTTGCTAAATTGCATAAATAAAGTATAAGTTTTTCAATGGTATAATTAAACAAATATAATAAAATCCTAAGTAGACAGCATTGAAATTGAAAAGTTTGTCAAACATGCACATTTACTCACTTCGAACTAAGAAAAACTATTTTTTTTTTCTTGGATGAGATTTTTATGTGATAGAACAAAATCCTAAAAGCGTTCTCGCTGCAGAAATCAAGACAACAGAAATCCAAACTCTACCAGATGTTGCCTTCAGTAAAAGGAAAAATTTAATGCCTTATTAGGATGTCTACCGAAGACAGTGCGTCACCATACCGCTGTCACACAGTGAGCTGAATAAAGATGTAAGCGAACAAATTATATTTAAAAAAATGCAAGCAAGTATAGTGTGCGATGGAGGGCTTCAGATACCTTATGGAATTCAGTAAATCAATATATTCCACTCATAAAGAAACGAAAACAAACAGTTCAAAAACAAATGGAAGGAAAGGGTAATGGGTAAGAGGTGCTTACCAAACAATAGTTTTCAGAACGATCGTAGCAGGGGGGGAAGAGTTGGGGAATCGGAGCTCAGACAAGAGCCAAACGAGAAACCCTAATTTCAGAACAGAAAAAAGTCATTAGAGGACAAAAACCGGAACGCAAAAGGGCTAAATCCGGAAAAAAAACATCCTCGGCACCGGACAGCCGAACTCCATCAATTTCTTCCTGGAAAAGAAAACGATAAAAGAAAAAAAAGCAAAACAAAGCACCGATGACCAAAAAAAAAAAAGAAAAAACTCAGCGAGACGGGAAAATGGAAGAGGGACGAAGGGGGTAGATTAAGTAAAAGTCTCTAGTAAGTTGTGAAAGAAGAGAGGCGTGCAGATAGCCGCATCCGATTCTAGGGTTTCCAGATGCAGCAGCGCCTTCGTGATTTCTCCGTGCACGCGGGGGCTTCGAATTGGGAAGGAAAGAACCAGCTGTTTTTGAGAACTAGGATTTCGGTATGGGAATCGGCAAATGAGCCGGCTAAATCCGCACCACATTTCTGGTTTACCGGTGAGACGGGTCACTCGGGAACAAACTGGACCAAAAGGTTGTCGACCATATCAAACCTGCAATTTGATCGATTCAGATCAGTCAATAAATAGGAATTCCTTGTGGGTTATTTATTGGCAGTATTTATAGTGTAGTGTATGGTATCTATTCTTTTGGATTTACATATGTATCATATAATTCTTATATATTAACATATCAAAAGTATAAACTTTAATGTTTAATTGTATAATACTCTAAAGTTATAATTATATTGAAACATATTTGATTTTTTATTATTTGACATGAATCTCGAGGCAACTTTTTAAGCAATGAATATTCAAACTGATTAAAAATTATCCAAAGCAACGGTTTCTATAAAGTTGCAGTCAATCTCAAGACACAACAATAGAAAAAAAAGTACAGTTCGAGTCAAAATCAAGCAGGTACATCAGTTTTAGATTTTTTTCAATACATAAAAGGAATGTCAATCAAATTCTAAATTGGCAAGCTTATAGTCAAATTGAGTGTCATAACGAGAAGAATCCAACGAACCCAAGATTGTTTCATTTCGAAATTATTAAGACACTCAAATGTCTCTAAATGTCGTTCGATCAATGGATTCTCTCTGGGGAAATCTGATAGAGTGATTTGAATTTATTTTTTTATTTGCAGAAATGTCTTCCCATACTCTATAAATAAAGCCCTATCCCTCTCCTCTCTTTGAGACCTGGACCTGTTGCTAGAAAAGCATGAGAGCTTTGAAAGGAAAGAGTTGAACCTCAACATCGTTTCTACATCAAAGATCGAGTAAATTTCTCCCGTTCCTACAATTGTTGACTACCGTCAACCATCACATGTCGGCCATTGTCTACCACCGCCAACCAACACTGGCAACCACCTACTCATTTCAGTAAAGTATCGGACCCCAACTAGCCCAACCTTTATGGGTAGGTTAAGGTTCAACATAGGTGGACAATTCGACCAAACTAAATTATAAAAAAAATTCTCGTCCTAATTTGAAGAATCAGGACTCAATGGATGATGAATTAGTCTAATTAAACCGACACAAACAAACTTCAATATTTTATTCATAATTTTTCACATATACTTGAAACAACGAAAAAAAACATATCATCATAACATATGAACTATTTAGAGCTGCAAAATCCAACATAAATAAAATATGTACCCAAAAGACTGTACAATCTCCCAATATTATAATTGCAAAAGTTATACAACTCATACCTAACTACTTTCTCTCTATTGTTCCTAACCCCTTACTAAAAGTAAACCATGTAGAGTGAGCAACATCAAGCTTAGCAAAATAATCAAAGCCAAAATAAGATTTTATACAAATAATAGAAACAACGTAGTTAATCATATGTAACTATATATGTCCACACTCAAGTCATAATATGTTAGAATCATATAGCATTTGTAAAAGAAAAGCATGTAGTGTGCAAAATCATGAATTTTGTATAAAAACTTGTATGTGATTCATTTATATGCAGTCATAAGCATTTAATCATATACATATTCATAAGAATCATAAATCTATTCATAGAAATTTCACTTGTAAATATATAAACCACAACTATTTCTATATCTTGTCATATCATGGGTCGTCATTCCACCCCAAATGTCATATTAACTATCGATAAAGGTTGTCCCCCAACATAACAGTTATCAATAATTCCCCTGTTGCAAATAGTGTCATATGTTATGTCACCATCTACTCAAAACGGTTCCCAAAATTTTGTCACTGCTGAACAATAAGAGCCTAAAATACCACTTCCTTGCATACTGTACTTACAAGAACTCATGTAATAGTTTACTCATAAAATCACTTGTGACACTTAAATCATCATTCTTGTATCAAGCATTCATCATAAACATTTCATATATTATGCATGGATCATTGCAAATGAATACCTACAAAAAATGTTTTTCTAAGCAAGTCCATTTGTATCATTGCATAGCATACCATCACATGTATTGTTGGATTAATTCAAGTTGCATTCATATATTCAATGCATGTATCCATCCATAATATGCAAAAAATTCTAAATGCATCAATGGTAAATATAAAATAACTTGAAAATCCTTAGATAATTATTTTTTTAAAGTTAACATGAGATTTTTTCACCTGACTAGACGATGCAGTTCTACGATGAGTTCCCACAGGCTCGTCTCAAGCTCGCCACCTCTTATGAACAACTTGAAAATTATTAGAATCATAGGAATTCATGAAATTTTGGATCATCTCATGATTTAACTGAAAACATTACTTATTTTCTAAAACATACCTCAAACGAGCTTCTTAGCATAAATCCACCTTTCTAATATTATTTATTCCTCTTCCCTCTTATTTCTATCACCTAAATCTTCTTTTTACTTCGCTAAATTCATGTTAATAGCCCTTACAGAAGTTCACAAAAAATAAGGTAGACATTTCAGACACAATTTTGCTCTTCTAAGGTGTCCAGAAATGAAAAAGTGTGCAATATGTGGCAAACATCAAAACAAAAAAATGAGGAAGAAAAGGAATGTCACAAATATCATTAAGGAGAAGTTCGTACAAACCCAAATCTCCTGAAATCACTTGTCGTGAGCTGTAGGTTCTCTGATTATCGCCCAATTCACATGTCTATAGTGGTCCGAGCATAATTATGACATGAGGGAAGGAATCCGTAGAGGGAAGAATGAGGGAGTGCGACAATATATGTGACACCCTTAACTTTCAACTGTTAGATTGAATCAAGCCACTGCATGTCGAGTAACGTGCAGGAGAGTCATCATGGAACAATGGAACGCAAGAGATTAGGAGAAAATTAATGTTAGTTAAGCTTAATTAAACTTATAACTTCAAATTTTTTATATCCCTCAATCCAAATATACTTAATATATAGTACTTTATATCAAATTGATTAATTTAGCATGTTGAATTTTATAAAATTACCTCAATTAAATTTTTAGGGGTTTAAAATTTGTTAAATTCTATCTGGCTTCCCAAATTTTGGGTGTTATAGCTATTCCCTCTTAAAAATATTTTGTCCTCAAAATTTCAAACTTTACTTGAATAGAGAGATATTTCTATCTCATTTTTTCTTCTTTTTGCCATGTAGATTCTTTCTCAGGCCTATGTTTTCACTATCTTGACAAAGGAAATTTATTTGTTCCATAGCTTCGTAACATCATTTTCTAAAATACTTTCAGTCTTTTCAATACTAGTTGAATTTTCAGTATGTCAATGTCTTCATGTGAAATCCTCAACTCTAAATTTGAAACCCATTTTCTCAACATTGAATGTGAAACATATCATGAATATCTGATATTTTTTTAGGTAATGCTAGCCTGTAAGAAACATGATTGATCTTTTCTATAATTTCAAAGGGACCAATGTACCTAAGATGCAACTTGCTTTCCTGACCAAATCTTATTGTACCTTTCATTGACCTGACTATTAGAAATACAAATTGGTCAATTTCAAATACTACTTTTTAATGATTTGTTTCATAGTATTTCTGTTGTCTATCTTAAGTAGCATTTAATTTGTCTATGATTAATCTTTGTTTTTTTTTGTTTGGCTTCATCAAGTAAGTCATGACCAAACATTTAACGCTTACCCACTTCGACCCAACTCAATGGAATTATGCATTTCCTATCATAAAGTTCTTCAGAAGGAGCCATTTTGATACTAGACAAATAACTATTATTATAGGCAAAATTAATCATTGGAATGTGATCTTCCCAACTACCTCCAAATTCAAGAACACAAAGCCACAACAAATTTTCCAAGACCTAAATTATTCTTTCTGATTTTACATCATTTTGTGGATGAAGTATTGTGCTAAACAACAACTGTAAACCTAAATCTTGTTGAAAGTATCTCCATAACTTAGACGTGAATCTCTAATCTCTATAAAAAATAATGACTTTTGGAACGCCATGTAATATGCTAATTTCTTTGATATATAATCTGGCAAACTTTTAAACTGACTATGTCTGTCTGATTGACAAAAAAACAAGTTGAGTTTGTGAGCATATCAATAATGACCTATATAGTGTTGTGGTCTTACCTAGATCGAGGTAATCCCATGAAAAAGTCCATAACAACTTATTGTCATTTTCATTGCAGTATCGACATTGATCGTAGTTATCTACTGGTCTCTGATGCTCAATATTTATAATCTGATAAGCTTGATATTGAGATACATATTCAGTAATATCATTTTCCATACCTGGCCAAAGAATATTGCTTTTAAATCCTTGTATATTTTAGTATTGTCTAGATGAATTGTGTAGCATGAATGATGAGCTTCATGTAAAATTCTTGTCTCAACTCAAATTTAGTAAGTACTCATAATTGCAGCTTATTTTTTTATTGCACAATCTTCATTAAGTGCCAAATCTTCTCTTTCTTGATTGAAGTCATTTCAAGAGCTTTAGATGTTTGCTGCTAACTCTTTCAGCTGTCATGATTTTAATTAGCATTGGTTTCACTGCTAGCTGATGTAAATATCCCATTTCACCTAGTATTCTGACTTGCATCTTTAAAACATCAACTTTTTTTTAATCAGCTCTAGTTCTTGAGTAATAATCCAGCTTGAACTAGGTATGGAATTACGACTCAAAGCATGTCAAGTACATTTGATCATTAGGACAATATTATAAACCTAGACCATAATTTTTAATAAGCTCCAACAATCTCCTCTGCCTTAAGTTCAACTCTTTTTGTGTAAGAATATACTTCAAACTCTGATGATTAGTGAACACTTTGCACTTCAAACCATAATAGTCATGTCAACAAACCTTGAGAGCAAACACTACAACCGCTAAATTCGAGTCATGTGTTAGCTAATTGCACTCATGTGGCTTTGCCTATCTGGATGCATAAGCTATTACCTTTTTATTTTGCATTAAAACGCAACCAAACCTTGTAAAGATGCATCATTGTAAATCTCAAATCCTTCTAAACCTGATGGAATAGACAACATTGGAGTAATAGTCAAATATTTCTTCAACTCTTAAAAATAATGC